ACGTTTCAGGATAAGCAGCTTATCCTGAAACACACAATCTGCCCCAAACAGACCCTTAGTCTGGGGGTGTATGGCTACTTGTTGGCTGGTGGTTGGCTGTCCGGAAGTGCGGTGTCCAGGTGGAATATGTTCTCCCCATAAACATGCCAATGTGAGTTTCTTAGATGCATATCACAAAATTCTAGTATATTTTCCAATCTACCGCATAAGTATTCATATTTACATGTATATTATTCAAATCTATTACCATCACATAAAAATAATATCATTATTGCCTTTTTTTTTTAATGAAATACATTTTTCAATGCGTAGGTTTATGATACTAAAGTGTTGCAGGTGTATATATATCAAATTTTGATTAATATATATGTAAATAATTAAGAATTGAGGGTTATGCATGTTAATTTCCCTTTTATTTTTATTATTTAGAAATTTCCAATGAAGTTAATCTTTATTCGTAACTTAGTTAAATTATAGATCATGAGTAAGGTAGCTTATTTGGTGCGATGACATTTTGAAAACGCACATGGCCTGTTTGAGTAAGCTGCGTTTTGGCAGCTTATGCGTTTTGAAAATACTGAAAACAACATTTTCACACCGCACCTATCTAGGTGAATGACAGCTTTTTTGCAGCGGTTTGATTTTTCCAAAAAAAAATAAAAAATTGTAATAGCCACCGCACCTAGCTTATCAGCAGATTATTCAATAAGCTGCAGCTGCCCCAACCAGACTCTAAATCATTTAAAGCTTATAAACAAACTCTTTAAGAAGTTCAATTAAGGCTTGATAATATGCCAATTTTTTGAGACTCAATATTTAAATTTATTTTATAATGTGAATATATGGGGAGGAGTTTTGTTACATTAGATGGCATGATAATAAAGTATGCAATAATCATATATGTTTGTATGATTTAGGGGAGCATGTTGGATTGGGTAATAAAGCTAGAACCGACTTGTAACAGAATCTTAAGTGCAATGATAATCAACTTCATTAAGAATCAAGCGATCTTCTTAACCAACTTATTCACTTTATTGAGTAATGACAAATAGAGCCTTGAATCATTCGTGCTAATTCTCTAACAAATCATAGAGGGCAATCTCCCTCTATTTCATTGCAACATGCAATAAAATGATTTAAGATGTTTTCTTCGCATTTTGCGTGGTGGAGTTTAGGGTTGTCAAAAAAGTTCGTTGTTTGCGAATGGTTCGTGTTCAGTTCGTCAATGAGTTTGTGTTCGATTCGTTCGATAAGTAAACGAGACGAACGTGAACAAATTTTTTTTCGTTCGGTTAGTTAAACGAACCAAACACGAACAGTGATGCGTTCGTTCGTGTTCGAATCGTTATTGTTCGAAATATTAAATAATTTAAATTAATTATATATATTTAATTTATGATATTTTAAAAAATTAAAATTTATAAATTATAATATATAATAAATTAATAATAATAATAATATATTAATATACTATATTAGTAGTACACTAATATAGATATTATATATTTATATAATATAAGTTATATAATATATTATTTATATATATATATTAATATTAGGGATGTCAAACTGGCTCGTCGTTCGCGAACAACTTGTGTTCGGCTCGTTCGTTAAGAAACGACCACGAACAGTGACTTCACGAACAATTTTGAACACGAGCTTATTTCAAACAAACTAAATTTCGAGCGAACCGAACACAAACACAAGCTCTGTGCATTCGTGCTCAGTTCGTTTACACCCCATAGTGGAGTTTTTAGTAGTTTATTAAAAATAATGAAAACTTTTGGTGTTACATGATAAATTGTCCATTTAGAAATAATATGATAAAAATGAAGAATAAGGGTTTTTAATGCAATCAAATTATTAACAATGCAATAAACGTGTTAACGTGATTACAAGAAAGTAATCAATGACATTAATAACCTTAATATCATGTTAATAGCCTTGATTCTATAAAAAGAAGTTTAGGATATAAATAGACATATTTCTAGCTCTTAGGGCCCGTTTGGGGCAGCTTATAAGTGCGGCGACGTTTTCAAAAACACAGTCTAACTGTTTGGTTTGCGCGTTTTTGAAAACACAGTTTGTCACGTTTGAGTTTTTTACACTAAACGCAGATCGTGAGTCGACCCTGCAGACCGCGTTTCAAGATAAGCTACTTATTCTGAAACACATAAGCTGCCCTAAACAGTCCTTTATTTACTTCGCTTTCCTATTCTAATATTCGGCTTGTTGTATAATTATCAGTCTTATTTATACAATTAGATATCAAGAAATATAAATTTCTTTTTCCATTATTATAAATTTTGGTCATAGTTTTAAAAAGAGAAGCAATTGCCACCAATTGGATGATAATTTAATAAATACTGAAATTTATACTATATAAATATTGCAGATCAATATTACCCCATAAATAAAAATTTTACAAAAAAAAGTATGCGGTAATCGTATACGACTGTAGAGGTTTAGGGGAACACGTTAAGGCTCGGGTGGCACAGATTAAGCCGACGCGTAGCGGCATCTCAGTCGTAATCCCCGTTTTTCGGCGTTACGCACCGGCCGACACGTATCAGTGGCTCCCCTCATATCTGACCCCACCAGTCAGTCGTTCACACCACTCTTTAAATAGTCATATTCGATCAATTGAAGATTTACATTGATACCCATTAATTCTAATGCATTTACATATCCAGCCCTTAAAATTTAACTTTTTAGATATGTTTCGCATTACGGCTGTCAAAAAAGCTCGTTATTCGCGAATAGTTCGTGCTTGATTCATTTGATAAGTAAAAGAGCGACGAGATAAATTTTTTCGTTCGGTTAGTTAAACGAACTAAACACGAATAGTGATGTGTTCGTTTATGTTCGAATCGTTATTATTTGAAATATAAAATAATTTAAAATAATTATATATAAAAAATTATGATATTTTTTAAAAAATAAATTTTATAAATTATAATATATAATAAATTAATAATAATATGTATATTAATATACTATATTTGGAATATACTAATATACATATTATATATTTATATAATATAAGTTATATAATTAATATAATATATTATTTATATATATATTAATACTAGGGATGGCAAGCTGGCTCGTCGTTCGCGAACAACTCGTTCGTTAAGAAACAAACACGAACAGTAACTTAACGAACAATTTCGAACAGAGCTTATTTCAAACAAACTAAATTTCAAATGAACCGAACACGAACACAAGCTCTGTTCGTTCTTTTTCGGTTCGTTTACGCCCCTATTTCACATTACCTATGAAAAGGTGTATTTTATATGGTAGTTATGTAAATAGATAGAAAGTGTGCGGTATGTATGTAAATGCTCCTTAATTAATCTCATAATCAACGGCTTCTTAATCACCTTCCACGTCATCATCGAACAATAATTATGTCCGAACTAAGTGGGATTTGACGATTTTGGGAATCATTAATTTTCTTTTCTTGTTTTAATTATGATTATTATATGATGCATTAAATTTGCATTTTTTATAAACTTTTTAGTATCTTTATTCATATTATGTTTCACACCCAAAGATAGAGCGTAAAAAGAGAGAAAGAGTGATGCAAAATGACAATTACTGTCCTTACTCTTTTTTCATGGTCGTTGGAAGTCTGACAGATCGTCCTCTTGTCGGTCGGCCTATATTTGAGTGGTCTTCGGGTCAGTCAACATTTAGGGTCTATTTGGGGCACCTGTAGCTTATTGAATAATCTGCTGATAAGTTTGGTGCGGTGATTATTACAAATTTTTTATTTTTTCTTTAAAAAGTCAGATTGTTGTCAATAAGCTGTCACCGCACCTAGATAAGTGTGATGTGAAAACGTCATTTTCTGCGTTTTGAAAACGCATAAGCTCCCAAGACGCAGTTTACCCAAACAGGTCAGGTGCGTTTTCAAAACGCCACCGCACCAAATAAGCTGCCCCAAACAGGCCCATAGTTTAGTCGTCTTTCGAGTTGACAGTTCTTTGATCGATTGCTTGATCTGTATCTGAGCTACGATTCGGTTATCCCCTATGCTAATCAATCTACCCCTTAATCTGCATAAGATCTTTAGGTATCTTTGTGTGCTCCGCTCTGAGCCTTTCGATCCGCAGATACGTCAAGGGATTGTACATTTTCCTTTTTTAAACTAATTATTCATTTTTTTTATATATTTATTTATTTTAGTGATTATGAAAATCAAAATCAAGTATTTGCACAAATTTTATCTTCTATTTATATAACTACCCTCAAACATTAAAAATTTATGATAATACCACCATTAATAATTAATGGTATAAAAAAATAAACATATTATTTCCAAACAAGAATAAAAAAGTCTTTTTTTTTAATTGACAATTAAAAATCATTTAATTCATTTTACAAATTCCACCCAAAATCATTCTTCCAAGGTCCACGGCTTGTGAAAGCGCCTCTTCAGCAGACACTTTCTCACCAAAAGCGCTTCATTTATGTAAGATTTACAAAAATACCCCTCAATTCTTACTTATTTGTTCTTTTATATATCTAAGAAAAAATATTATATACTCCACTCAGAATACGTCACGTGTATGGTCCGGTCCCACTAAATACAAAAAGCTAAATAGTTTAATGCATGACTGGGCCGGACCGTACACATTGCGCATTATGATTGGAGTCTTGATGTAGTTTTTCATGTGGACTTCAATTTTACGTATATACCTCCTCATCACTAATATGTAAATACATAAACATTGGATGGTATAAATGTAAATGCCCCTAAAAAAAATGTAAGGATATAATTAATTATCATAAATAGAATTTCTTATAAGCATAAACAATTCAACTCTGGCATTAAAAACTCTTTGCAGTAACAATCAAGCAATGTAGAAAATTGAGAAAGAAGAGGCCAAGGCTTCATCAACAAGTGCCTTCCATGGCAAGAATAAGCTATTTAACTCCCTCATTCTTCTTTCTCAGCTCTCATCATCATCATCATCTTCTTCTTCTTCTTCTTCTTCCTCTCCATTTCTGTCGGCATTGAAGCTTCTTCCATGGTCGTGATCATGGAAGACGCCAACTTTCATCTCCCTCCGGGATTTAGGTTCCACCCCACCGACGAAGAGATCATCGTCCACTACCTCACCCCCAAGATTCTCAACCATGGCTTCGTCGCACGAGCCATGGGTGTCGTCGACTTGAACAAATGCGAGCCTTGGGAACTCCCTGGTACGCGCCCCTGCTTCATCTCCTTCGGGGCAGTCTGGCAACGAATTTAAATTCGCGAGCTTCCGACTATCTCCAACAACCACAACGACTTAAATTCTTATGAAAATTGCCAGACAGTTCCCTTGAATTTACAGAATTTAATAACTTTGTTGCCAAGACAGAGTTCTGAATTTATTTAATTCAGAAAAATCTCAACCTCTTAATCTTTTTGCATGCAGGCAAAGCTAAGATGGGGGAGAAGGAGTGGTACTTCTACTGTCAAAGAGATAGGAAGTATCCGACGGGGACGAGGACGAACCGGGCGACGGAATCGGGTTACTGGAAGGCGACCGGAAAAGATAAGGAGATTTACAGGCGGAAAACAGAAGTTTTGATTGGGATGAAGAAGACGCTGGTGTTCTACACAGGGAGAGCTCCTAAAGGAGAGAAGACCAATTGGGTTATACATGAGTACAGACTCCAAACCAATTTCTCCTCCCTCTCCAGTCAGTTTAAGTCATCAAAGGTTAGCAACAACCCTAAAAATCAAATCTTTATTCTCCTATATGTCAACTTTGTGATTTCAAATGGAGGCCTAAACGAGCCAAACTTGAGCCAGTTCAGGGCTGGCTCGTGCTGGACTCATTTAAAAAAACCACTATTCATATTCGACTCATTTATATATCACCTAAAAAATCTTTTTCGTGTTCGGCTCGTTTGCTTAACGAGTCGAATAAGAGCGGTTTGCGAATAATGAGTCATTTTGATAGCCTCTTAAAGATATGAGCGAGATTTAAATGTTATTGTTTATATGAAAATATTTGTTTAAATAGAGATTAATATATTTTTATTTTTTTTAATTCATAATTTTAATTAATTATATTTTTTTATCA